GTTATCAGCAAATAAAAGATGAGAAACATCAAGTGTACTGCTGCCTCGTTCAAAACAAACACCCTTGAAAAGTTGTTGTTCCTTGGCCTTGCTCATCAAACCAACCAACGCTTTCATAACCAAAATAAATAATAAAGGAGAGAGTGAGTCTCCTTGCCTTAAACCCCTAGAGGCCGTCAAGAATTCCAAAGGACCACCATTAATGAGAACAACAAAGGAAGTGGGTGTCATGCATGTATGCATCCAAAGTCTCCATTTTGGCCCAAACACAATCCTTTCAGCATGTAGTCCACAAAGCTCCAACTAGCATGGTCATATGCCTTTTTCATGTCAAGTTTACAAATAATACCTTCCTTCCTATTGGTGACAAGATCGTCAACTATCTCATTAGTTGCCATAACAGTATTAAGGATTTGCCTACCTTCCACAAAAGCGTTTTGACTACTACTAGTGATATCCCCAAGTACTTTAGAAAGTCTTTTAGCCAAAACTTTAGCGATGAGTTTATATATACAGCCAACCAAACTTATCGGCCTGAAATCACCAAATTCCTTAGCCTCCTTTTTGGGAATAAGAGTAACAAAGGTAGAATTGAGAGTCCTCACACATTTTCTAGATTTATGCAGTTCCTTAAACATTTCCATAACATCATCCTTGATTACATACCAAAATTTCTGCATAAATTTCATATTAAACCCATTAAGACCTGGAGCTTTATCCCCATACACAAATCCAAGCTTTCTTTAATCTCATTCTCAGAGAATGCATTTTCCAGCAATAATTTGTTGTCCTCAAAAAGTCGCCTAAAATTTATTCCATTCAAAGTAAGCCTTCTCATATGATCTTTTTGGTACAATTTGCCAAAATAGTCTTTGACTGCCTTTTTGATCTCTTGATTACCTTTAACTTTGCAGCGATTAACCCAGATTTCTGAAATGTAGTTATTTCTTCTCCTATTGTTGGCCATAATGTGAAAGTACTTCGTGTTTCAATCACCTTCCTTAACCCACCTCTCTCTTGATGACACAATAAATCTCATCAACCTTACACAAATTAGCTAAATCCACTTTTAGATTATTTCTCTTGCCTATCATGGTCTCATTTAGCAAACCATCCCCCTTCAGCAGATCAATGTAACTGATTTCCTGCATGATACTAGTGAAAATTTTCCTTGCCTAAGTTTTTCTTCTCTCGCCCACACCTTTATTAACTTTTTAACCTCTTTCAGTTTTCTAGCCAATCTGAAACTTGCTTTACCATGAATCATGGTATTTCCCCAAGCTTCTTCCACCAACTCAACAAATCTCAAATCCGACAACCATCTATTATCAAGCCAGAAAGGGTTTGGCCCTCATTGAATTCCATCTGCTTGAAGGAAAATAGGGTAATGATCCAACATTGGCCTTTGAAGAGTTTTCTAAATAACTCTGGGAATTTGTGTCATCAAAGCAGGATTAACCAAGACTCTATCAATTCTAGAACACGTAAGTTGCTGCCTCATATTTGTCCAAGTCTATTGTTGTCCAGAGAGTGGAAGGTCTACTAATTCCAACCTATCCACCAATGTGCTCAACTGGTTAGCATCAGTCATCCTCACATTGCTGCTGTTCCTGTCATCGCAATTCAGAGTCATGTTGAACCCCCCACCCCCAACGATCCAGAAATCAACCCATTTCCTCTTGTTATCCATAAGTTCCCTCCGGAGTTTCTCTCTCTCTCTACATTTGTTGTCCTGACAATACACACCCGTAAAAGCCCATTCACAATTTTGACTTACAGCTCTTGAAAAAGCAAGATAATGTAGTTTTTCCTTTGATCACCTCTAGACAGTTATTAATCCTTTCATTCCACATGAGGATAATACCATCAACAGTACCAATTGTTGGAATACAATGCCATCCTATTCTTTCACTCTTCACATGCTACGAATAATTTCGTCCGAGCATAGATCCAGTTTAGACTCCTGCAAACAAACAATATCCGACTTCCATTTTGCCAAACAACATTTAATAATGAGTCTCTTACCTCGGTTATTCACACCCCTAACATTTCATGATACAATTTTATCGATCATTAGAATCAAAAATTTTTTTCCTCCCTAACTCCTCTTATCTTCCCTCCTCTTCCCTTCATAGTTGACAGTAGATTCAAGTCTTTTCAATTCTCTCGATATACTCTCAACAACTTTTTTTCCCCCTTAGACATCACAATGCCCTTGTTCTTTTTTTCCTTTCTTCTCTTTTCTATTTCAGAAAAAAATAAGAAAGCTTGAGCTTCCATACCTTCCATAGAAATCTTTATTGATTTGCTGTATTTCTGAATATTTTGATAAACCTGTTGCGAATACCCCGTCGGGAAACCATTGACAATATCAATATCATCTAAGCTCAAAACAAGAATCTCTTTGACATCCGGATCCACGAAAGGGAAAATCTCCTACTGCTACTCTGTCTTTAAACATGACCATCATCAGACATTGTCCTTCACCCTCTTCTTCCCTTTCAGGCTCCATAGCGTTGGATAAATCATCAACAAACTTCTCATCTTCTTCTTCACTCGATTCCGCATCACTGTGTTATGAAGTTTGCACCTTACCATCCTCCATGCTTACCATCGACATGCGCTCTAGGGTTTCGGACACCAGAGTTTCATTTTGCTTCGCTTCTGTCTTAGTCACAACGGGCCT